AAAAATATTTTATTAAGCTGATAAAAATATTTACTATTTGTGTACAAATATATTTAATATTATTAGAAATATAATCACTTTTGTAAAATATTTGCAAAAATATTTAATTTATTCTTTAGTTGTAGAAGCGAGATTTATGAGTAAATATATAAAATCGATATCACAAAAATGCCGAACCGATTACTTTGTACATTAGTTCGATAGTTTGGAAGAACATTGATGTCCATCATCATTTATTGCCTCAGACAAAGTCGAATGCCACTTTTTGCTTTATGTTTTTAATTATATTCTTTGCGATAGTTTCATTAAACTTTTAAATTATCTTCCAAATAACTTCTATCAGAATATTAATTATGTTGTTAGAAATAAGCTTTTTGTGTGCTGTTACAGAAATCTTTATCCTGGTCAAATGAAATCAAAGATACTTTCGGATATTGACAATCGACATTATTATAGACATTTTTTTTGTATAATCTGTGTATGCCTTTAATCTTACCAATTGCTCGTAAATTAACATTTGCAGTTTAAAAATTATATAATTTTTCGATTTAATTTATACAGATAAAGTCACTATTATTGTAATTCGTTCAATGGTCCATACACCTACTTTTTGTATATACCTAATTTTTGTGATACATTATTTAGTAACTTAGAATTAATTTTTTTAAAAGAAAAACAATAAAAATCTAGTAGCAATAAATTATTGAAAATGATTGAATTAAGTTTTTTAGCTAAAGTAGATAAATCAATTATAGTTTTATGAAAAAATATAACATTGCATATTGATGCTGTGTATGATTAAAATTATCATATATTTGTGGATTGCAATTAAATGTATGTCAGTTTATTTTATGTAAAAAGTGCAATTTTTTTTTAAAGAAATATTTATATTTGTTTATTATAACGCGCAAGATAAAAAACTTAAAAAAATTTTACGTACTCATATTATGCATATTCTGTGATTATAAAAAAAAAAGAAATCCATGATGTTGCGGCAATACAAAGTGATGCGTGTAATCACGGCGTCGTTGAGAAATGGCCGAGCAGCGGGAACATCTGGTGCTTTGAAGCGGAAAACGGGCAAATCTTTTCTCATTTTTCTCATCCCTGTCTGGGATGATGCGCTTTCCAGTTAGCGTTTTCTTGCCGCAAACATCGTAGATTTTTGAGTTTATTTTCGCATCGAATAAATATGGATTCCCCCAAGAGAAATAGAAAAATAATTAAGCGAACAAACAAAAAAGGCGCGAGATAATTTTGTAGCAACTTTCTTAAATTTCGTCAGCATTTGTGTCTTATGTATTACGCAAACAGTTTTCCGAGGACCGGTAATGGAGAACTTTACGATGGACTCGGTCTTAAGTTTCTGAGTTTTTGCGCGGAGTCGCCGCACTTCGTTTGCGTTTTATCGCGCCATCAGCAACTTCAACTTTAAGATGAAGTAGGTCAATGAGTCGAGATTTTCAAAATTTTCTTTCATGTTCCTCTTCAGCCTTATTTGTCACGCTAAAATTTTAAAAGCCTTCTCGTCGTCAGTTTCCGAATTATTGGATGCTCGCGCGAACGCGTGGGCGGCTGATTTCGCATTTCCCGCACGCGGAACTAGTTGGATGACCCGCTTGGAATGTTCGAAATGGTCCGACAGCCGGGTTGTTTGCATCTCGTTTGCACCTGGCGAAGAAGAAAAGTTTCGGAAATTCTCAGCGGGCGCCCGCTTCGCCCCAGATCTGAAGAAGTTTTTTCGATAACTCGTAAATTATGAGTGCCCAATGGTCGTTTCTCAACATCTGGCTGGCGGAAACGACGTGTAAAGCCAACTTCCGCAAAATCGGAGATTCTAGACACAAGTCGAACTGTTATATGTTTTTATAAAAATTATTGGAATTAGCAAAAGGATATATAAGCAAAGAAGTAAATAAATCTTTTTTTATATTAAATTATATTTTTTATATTAAAATTTTTATGATGAAAAATTCGTTTATTTCTCTCTTTCTCTCTATTTTGAGAGAAATAGAGAGAAAGAGTAATTTTTTATAAATTATAATGTACAAGGAAAAATATCTTCTTCTCACATATAAATTTAATTTCTTTCACATGTAATATATATGTAATTCATGATTATGTTATAAGAAAGGAAAGCGCATATAAAGCTTACAGCAATACGAATTGTCATCACGATTCGTTGAGAAATAGCCAAGAGGTAGAGAAGCATATGGCGCTCCGAATCGAAGAACAGCTTTCTTTCACGTTTCTTTTTGATTTCCTCGTCAGCTGGCGCGGAGTATAATAATATTTTTGGTTCGAAGGTCATTACTTCTTAAGCCATGTGCTCGAATATTTCTGATATCTTAAGAAATATCGTCCATTTTTCATCGATTTTAAATCATTCCATAGAGTAAGTAAAACATTAGAAATAAAATCTAAAATACGTATGCGTATTACTAAAGGAATATGTGTTTTATAAACTTATATGAACTTCTTAAATTTTTTTAAATTAAAATTGCTTAATAAACATGAATTTGATATTTTTTAAATTATTAATACTAATTTTTTAAATTGATGAACATTAAATTTTGTTAATAAAGTTATACAAACTAGAACTTTATTAAAACATAAACTTTATTTTTTTTAATTAAATAAAACATTAATATTTTTATTAAATATTGTAATTAATCCTGAAATTTATTTGATTAAAATTATTTAATTTTTAGAATTAAATAATTTTATATTTAATGTTTTGTAGACATTTTTTTTATTGGAAACAACCAGAATAATTTTACAAGAAACGTATATACGTATAGCTTCTCTATATGTATAAATATAATATGATACTGTTTATTCCATGGAAATCAATGTTTTACATCATATTTTTTCATTTCGTGAATTTCATGGGGATCATATTATGTGCTTGCACTTTGTTATGTAATTTCCTGTCTATGAAAAAAATATGAGGCCATAGTGATAAGTGCAGAACGATGCGCGTAATCACAGTAACATTGAGAAATGGTCGAGTAGCTGTAGCATCTGGCGAGTTGAACTGGACCGGGAAGAAAGGCGGGAGAAGCTTCCTCTGATTTTCTTGTTGATTCCCTCATCGTCCCGCGTGAACAAGAATAATGTTCTCGGCCCGATATCAGACCCAGTACCAGATGTCGGTTTACGAAGATCGATACACGATGTTGTTATTGCATCCGGAAACGGGTATCATTTACTCGAACAAGAGCTAGCGAGATGAATCATTTCGCGAGATTCAAGATTACTGACGTAACGAATCCGAGATAAGGACGTTGTTCATATAAAAGATAAATTAATCAACACAATAAGATAATTTAATTGCTTTCATTTGAGCATTTTACTGATGATGAAGGCAAAAATCGCGTATGTTATTTTATGTTAATGCTGGAAACCTGCTATGATATTCTATGATATTCTATGTTAATGCTGGAAACCTACTAAAGCATTGGACTTGATTAGTTACATATCGGATGCGTTAGGGATGATAAGGTAAAATCTTTTCGATTTCTCTTGTTTTTCACTAATATTGAGTCATCTTGTTTACAAATTAATAATTAAATATTTAATATAAATAATTAATTGACAAATTATTAAATTATCACTCGACATTTCTATTTTATTATTCATATGTATACAGTATAATACATGCTCAAGATGTGCACTAAAATTTAAAAAATTCTCTTTTTAAAATAAAATATCCTTCTATATATATAAAGTATAGCTAACATCTAGACAAATTTCTGATGGTCATAAGTTGAGATATTTGTATTATATATTTTGACAATAAGATCCTCCTTTTATGGGATGAATCTCTGAGAGTCGTCTACCGGAATCTCTGGGATTTCGAAATACCCTGATATTCCGCCCGATGTCTTCGCGAAAGAGATTGGTTCAGAGACGGTACGCAGAAGCCAATGTGATTGTACGTGGATACAGAAGGGATTGCGGCAGGTCACGTCGCGCTTCACTTAAAACAAGTAAAGGCCGCGGCAAAACCGTAGGACGGAAGCACCAGAGTGGGTAAATGGATAAACTTAAGCCGAAGGATCTCTGTCCTCCTACATGATGCGTCTGGCCTATACATGTTCAACGTGCAGGACATACACGCAACGAAAAATAGTTACCATGTTTCACGAAATATTCTTTATTAAAATAGTGACCACCAAAATTTGTAATGTAGCCATTCATTGTTTGTGACTCATAAGAAATAATCAATCATCTTTATTATAAAAAAATATATTAATATATATTGCTTTAACATTTAATTAATATAAATTATATATAATAAATATTTGCTCTCTTGTTTATGAAGAAAAAAAACATATAATAATAATCTTACTAAAAACATTATAAAATCCAAATGTCTTAAATTGTTTTGTTTTAGATTTCTATATTTTATATTTTTATTATATATTAAATGTGAAAATTTAAAATTTATAAATTATTATGAGTTTCTATTATATTATTTTAGTATTGTATTATTATATAATATTAGTCTATAAGAAATCTATCATATATATTTATATTACGATGATATGCTTTCCGAGGTTACTATCTCCACTTTATACATGAAGAAATAAGTTAGCTTTGCTCTCTATCAGTAGAATTTCATAATATTCTCTTATTACCTCTCTTTATTACGCCCAGTTCGTAAAGCATCATATCTTTAAGGGTTAACAGGAGACACTGTAAAAACCACCCGTGCAGACCCAGGAGCTACCAATTTCTAAATCAATTATTTTTACTAAAATACAAAGAGAATCATATTAAAATTATATTCGTAATCAGTAGGATCGTCTGCAAGATGCCACAGAGCAAATTTTTGATTATTAGTCACTAGCACTGAAATTTTAGGTTGGAGATTCGAAAACTAAGAACTGAAATTTGAGATTGGAGAGATTTAAGATTTGAGAAACGATTATGAATTCGGGCATTGAGAGTGAGAATTTATTTTTCAGATTGGTAACCCTGAAACCGCAATTTCGCATTATTATGTTTCGTGCAAAGTCTCCAGTATCAGTTCGCAGTTTGCCAGTTTCCTGTCGACCCTTAATGTGATTAGTTTACCTGCCACGTACTTACTTAAGATAGTGATTGTTCGAATTCACGTTTTCTGCAGCCAATTTCATAAATTAGTTTCGCCGATAGTTGGAAATAAAAGATATACAGGTAAGTTTTTGAATTAACATTGTTGATGTTAATCGAAATGCCATTTCCACAAATTTATGATTGAATTTAATGTCACTGTGACTGTGCGTAGATGCTAATAATTGCGTTTTTTACGTACTTGAATTTATTTTCGGCTCGATAGTTATTAGTAACATGTCAACCGTAAGATACGTCGTACTTGCAGACAGGCAATGATGAGTCGCTGGGCAAATAAAACCGCAATCGTTATCGGCGCTGGATCCGATCTTGGCCAAGCAATTACATTCGCTCTTTTGAAAAATGGAATACACGTGTATTACGCTATAGTTTCGAAGGAAGAACAAGAAAAAATTAAAGCGGAATACGAAAAGATGGATAAAAAAGATACACTTACGGGTAAATTATTAGAACCTAAACATGATGACCTAAACATAAAGGATATCGAAGAAATATTCGAGATGGATGTAAATATTTTGATCAATAATATCGATGCTGATGTTGGTAAGTATTCGTGCGTTGTTGTGAAATTACTTATACAGAATATTACAAAGAGAGATGAGGAAAAAGAGAGGGGGAATAGAGAAAGGAGAGGTAGAGAAGGAGCGGAAGAAAAAGAGAGAGAGAGAGAGAGAGAGAGAGAGAGAGAGAGAGTATATATGTATATATTGTTGCACGTTCTAAAATATTCTATAAATTATATATCTAGATATTGATTTAAGAATCTCATTAATTTTAGATTTTCATTTTTCGATACATCTTAAATTTATGAATGAAGTGATAAACTCTATGCGCAGGCGACAAGTAGAAGGGCACATTTTCAATATCAACAGGTATTATTATTTAATTTATTCATTAATTACGACAAGTTGAAAATAAATTTGAATATACTTTTAATATAAATAAGTCAAGCATTTATTCTTGGTTTTCATTTATTTTGGTTTCCATTTATTTTAGTTTCCTGTAGTAAAACAAAAATGTGGAATATGTTGAAAAAAATACAATGATTTTTATTTATTGTTAACTTTTATCATTAGCAATTTAAATAACATAGATAATTTTGTTATTTATAGTATTCACGGTCATTTCCTTCCGACACTTCCTAATTCATATTTGAATGAAAGAGATGTATTTCTTTTTAATGAGTGGGTCGTTTCTAAGCATACAAGTGTCACTTTAACTCATATGATACGACGTCAAGTAGTGGACGTTAAACCTCCTATTCGAGTTACGGTAAGTTGCGATCAAATAAATTCTTATTTTTTGTTTCTATTTCTTTTTTTCTGTTATATAAAAATATTGCTCTAATTAGAAATATATGTAATATAAAATTATATAAAAATTATATTATAAAAACACAAACGTCTTTGAATCATTATGTGTGATATCAATAATATAATATAATATAATGAAAAATTTATGCTGCAATAAGAAAATAAGAGAAAAAAAGAATTTTTATAAAAAAATAAGTATTACATAAATATTACATAAATAAATATTTTATAGAATATTAATATATATAAAATCAAAATGAATGATGCCAGGTGTCATCTGTGTATAATTATATCAAATGTATTTTCATCAATATAAATTTTGTTTCTATGATTCTTATTTATTCGTTCTTTTCAGAGCATTAGTCCAAGTTGTCTGAAAATGAATATAACGGATATAACTTTGAATGAGTCTAATAATGAATTAAGTTTAATGCCAGAGGATGTAGCAGATGCGATCATTTATGCTCTTAGACTAAAACCAACAGTTCAGGTTAATTTTTGCTAACGCAACTTTTTTCTAAAAAAAACATTGTTTCACATGTTGTTTAATTCCAGATTACGGAGCTTATTATTCAATCTGCCGGAATGCATCCATGAAAAATATTTTTTGCAATATGTCCACCTCTCTTAGCATTTCACATAATATAGTATAAAGAGATTTTTATTTAAAATAAGATTCTATAGAGATTTTTATTTAAAATAAGATTCTATTTGTATTGCTTTGTATTTCTTTGCATGAATATAAAATTTTGTATGTAATGTGGGTGCGTACATGCATGTATGTGTATGCTCGAAATGTGTAATATACTTTACTTGTGCTTGAAATGTGTAATATATATTTTAATAATAGAATATTATATATATATATATATATATATATATATATACATATATAGGCACATACATATATATTTACCGGTTGCAATTAAAGTTATAATGAAAAGAAGTAATCTAACAAAAAGTTGTGAAAATAATAAACTTTCTATGTTTATTCTATATTTCTACATTCTATTCTTTTATCATTGTGTTTACCAGCGCGCGATGCTTCATCACTATCTATCACTTTATAAAAATCTATCATTTTATAAAAATACATCAAAACACTAAAAATTTAAATTTTGCGATTTACTTTTCTTATCGTCATGCAACATTATCACTAATACGTTTAATAAAAATACGTTTATATAAAAAAATGTATTAATAAATATTGCTTATTAATTTCGCATTTAATAAAAATATAAATATAAATTATATAAATATTTGCTCCTTTGTGTACGAAGAAAAAATATAATAATCTTACTAAAAACATTATAAAATCCAAATGTCTTAGATTGTTTTGTTTCAGATTTCTATATTTTATATTTTTATTTTATATTAAATGTGAAAATTCAAAAATTTAAAAATTATGAGTGTCTATTATATTATTTTTGTATTATATTATCATATAATTAGTCTATAAGAAATCTATCATACATATTTATATAATAATGAGATGTGTTTTCCGAGGCTAGTATCCCCACTTTATACACGAAGAAATAAATTAACTTTGCTCTCTACCAGTAGAATTTCATAATATTCTCTTATTACATCTCTTTGCTCATTTTGTACTAAAACATCATATCGTTAAAAGTCGAAAGGAGGCACCATGAAGACTAGAAAACTACCAATTCGTTAATCAATTATTTTGATCAAAATACAGAGAGAAGCATATAAAAATTATGATATCCGTAATCAGTAGAATCGTCTGCAAAATGTCACAGAACGAATTTTTGGATAAAAAGTCAAAATAAAATTACTAATAAATGTGAGAAACACTTGCCTAGTAACGGGTTAGGTGTAGCTAGGTACGAGTTTCGCGAATTTTATTTATTATAAATTTTTATGAGGCAAAATGCAAAATTTTATAAGAAATATGCTAAAAAAAAATTTATGGAAAATTATCATTTCTTCGAAAAGAAATGACGGATTTACGAATACTACCATGATAATAAATTTCCATAATAACATTGGTTTGACAAGGAAAGATTATCGCTCTATATTTTTCTCTCTTGTACTTCATATATTAACGTCCGTCCGTATAGACACAAACCAATATTTTCAACAATATATTCAACATATAGATGATTATGATTAATTTATAATATAGATTGTGTGTTGTCCCTCTCATTAATTTTGCTGATATTTCGCCGCGTAATTACATTACTGCATAAATATTAATAATAAGAAAAGAGTAGACGTTATATTAAAAATCAAGTTTGAATCAATAATTATTGATATGTAGTTATTTTGATGAACAATTTTAATATAATATATTCAATTATTAAAATTGTTACATTTTTATATTAATTTCAGAATAATTTTTAAAACATTAAAAACATATATCCTCATATAGACCTCTACATAGCTCGAATTCATAGTCGTTTCTCAAATCTTAGGTCTCATCTCCAATCTCAAATTTTAGTTTTCAGATTTCGAATCTTCCTGAAATTTCAGTGATAGTGGCTCATTATCAAATTCAGTCCTTCATGACTAAATGAGAGTAGGGATCCTTAGAATATTACTTTTATTCAATGTAGAGACCTAACTATTGAAATAAATAATGGTGAAAAATTAAAAATCATAGCTGCAAAAGTGTTTGTAACGATTCATGTTTTTTTATTTTCTCGCTTCTCAATTCGCTCATTTTCTTTAATTCGTGATAAATTATCTTTAATTATTTTGGTTGATTGATTCACGTCTCTTCCTTACTTGTTTAATTTATTTGTGATCAAAAATCATCATCAGTAAGTAATTATAAGTTTTATATCATATTAAGTTTTATATTATAAATAATTTACGAACTGTAACAATATTAATCTTTTAATATTGAAAATACAATTACAAATTATTGTTATAAACTTCTCATTTTGATTAAAACTAGTTCTTAATCAAAAATTTTTTTAATATGTATGCATGCATGTTTTAATTTATATGCATAATGTTTTCTATTTTTCAATAGTCAGATCTCTACTCTCGCTTAGTCAGGAAGAATCAAATTTAATGATTAGCACTGAAATTTTAGATTAAAGATTCGAAATCTAAAAGCTGAAATTTGAGATTGGAGCCGAGATCTAAGATTTGAGAAACGATTATGAATTCGGGCCATAGACCGAAAATTTATATTTTAGATTGGTAACCCTGAAATCAGAATTTCGCATTATCATGTTTCGTATGAGGGCATCAATAACAGTTCGCAGTTTGCCAGTTTCCTGTCGACCCTTAATGTGATTACCTGTCACGTACTTACTTAAGATAGTGATTGTTCGAATTCACGTTTTCTGCAGTGAATTTCATAAATTAGTTCGCCGATAGTTGAGAATAAAAGATATATAGGTAAGTTTATGAATTAACATTGTTGATGTTAATCGAAATGCCATTTCCACAAATTTATGGTTGAATTTAATGTCACTGTAACTGTGCGTAAATGCTAATAATTGCTTTTGTTACGTACTTGAATTTATTTTCGGCTCGATAGTTATTAGTAACATGTCAACCGTAAGATACGTCGTACTTGCAGACAGGCAATTATGAGTCGCTGGGCAAATAAAACCGCAATCGTTATCGGCGCTGGATCCGATCTTGGTCAAGCAATTACATTTGCTCTTTTGAAAGATGGAATACATGTAACTGCTACACATATCAAGGAGGAAAAAATGGATGAACTTAAAACGACATACGAAAATATGGATAAAAAAGATACACTTATGGGTAAATTAGAACTTAAATATAATATAAATGATATCGAAGAATCATTCAAGAAGGATGTGGATATTCTGGTCAATAATCTCAATATTTTTAGTAAGTATTCGTGCGTTGTTGTGAAATTACTTATATAGAATATTACAAAGAGTGATGAGGGAAGAGAGAAGGGAATAGAGAAAGGAGAAGTACGAAAGAAGAAAAGGAGAGAGAGGGGGGAAGGAGGGAAGGAGGGGGAGAGAGAGAGAGAGAGAGAGATTATCTATTTATGACAAACCAGTAATTAGTATTTTTTAATAACAAACTATGAAAATGTAATATTAGAACCATTTAATAAATCACTTGCGTGTAACACGTATGGAAGAGATTTTTCGAAATTTTCTGTATTAGATTCTTCACTATACATTTTATCTCAATGTTATGTAATTGGTTGATTTCACATTAATTAAAAACAGCGAACTAATATATATCACATATATTTATGCATAACATTTTCATAGGCAATATATTATAATTGATAATCTCAATAGCAAAAGTATATTTGAGCATGTAAATTAATAAATATGACGAATGATGAATTAATAAGCAAATCGTGCAACATTTCTACATTGCTTGTATTTTTTCAGCCACAAAATGAATTACGTAAATAAAAGCATAACCGCCAAAAAATTTATGTAATATAAGAAAACTATATAATATTGTTTATATAATAACTCAATATTATAGTCTTTATGTATTATTATGCGTTTTTATTTATTATTTTTATATTTTTTGTACTGAGGGAATTTTTGGTCTCATTTGAAAATTTAATTTTGAGCATGAAATTATAATTAGATTCATTCGAAAATATAACTTCTAATACAAAAGATGTTATCGCTGAAAGAAGAGCTCGCATACTTCTACACCATGCATCACTTTTACATATCATGTACAATTCGCAATGGCGAATAGAGACTTTTATTCACATTAGAAGACTTCGATTTACGTTTATATATTGTTGCACGTTTTAAAATATTCTATAAATTATACTTGCAGATACTGATTTGAAAACTTTATCAATTTTAGGTATGGGATTGTCGTTATATGATCAGTTTATAAATGATGCGATAGAGTCTATGCGCAGGCGACAAGTAGAAGGGCACATTTTCAATATCAACAGGTATTATTATTTAATTTATTCTTTAATTACGACAAGTTTTGAAATTAATTTGGACATACTTTTAATATAAATAAGTCAAGCATTTATTCTTGGTTTCCTATAGTAAAACAAAAAGTGGAAAATCTTGAAAAAATACAATGATTTTTATTGTTAACTTTTAATATTAATAATTAAAATAATTGATAATTTTGATATTTATAGTGCTTACGGCCATTTCCTTCCGAAAAAATCTCTGAATGATTTGGGTCAAGAAAGTACATGTCTTTTTAATCAGTATGTCGCTGCTGAGCACGCAAATGTTGCTTTGACTCATATGGTACGACTTCGAGTAGAGGGCGTTAAACCTCCTATTCGAGTTACGGTAAGTTGCGATCAAATAAATTTACATTTTCTGTATCTATCTCTCTTTTTCTGTTATATAAAAATATCACTCTAATTAGAAATATATATATTATGAAATTATAATTATAAAAACACATACGTTTTTTAATCATTATGTGTGATATCAATATCAAATATAATATAATATAATAAAAAATCATGTTGCAATAAGAAAATAAGGGCAAAAGAGAATTTTTATATAAAAATAAGTATTACATCAGTATTACATAAATAAGTATTTCATAGAATATTAATATATATAAAATAAAAAACAATGAATGATGCCAGGTGTTATCTGTGTATAATTATATCAAATGTATTTTCATGAATATAAATTTTATTTCTATGATTCTTATTCATTCGTTCTTTTTAGAGCATTAGTCCTAGTTGTCTGAGAACGGATATATCTTTGGAGTTGCCATTGTTATATGATTTCATGGGGCCGGAGGATGTAGCGGATACGATTATTTATGCTCTTACACTAAAACCGGAAATTGAGGTTAATTTTCGCACTTTTTTCTAATAAAAACATTATTTCACATATTTTTTAATTCCAGATTACGGAACTCATTATTCAATCTACCGGGACACTTCCATGAAAAATATTTTTAGCAATATGTCCACCTCTCTTAGCACCTCACTTAATATAGTATAAGGAGATTTTTATTTAAAATAAGTTTATATTGCTTTGTATTATTTTGCATGAATATAAAATTTTGTATGTAATTTATGTGTGTATATGTATATATGTGTGTGTTCGAAGTGTGTTACATACTTTGCCTAATATATATTTTGATATATTTTATATATACATATATATATATACGCACATACATATATATTTACCGGTTGGAATTACATTTATTGTGAAAAGAAGTAATCTAACAATGAGTTGTGAAAATAATAAAATTTCTATGTTTATTCTATATTTCTATATTCTACATTTTTATTATCGTGTTTATCAGCGCACGATGCTTCACATCACTATCGCTTTAAAAAATACATCAAAATATTAAAAATTTAAATTTGCGACATATTTTTTATTGTGATGCAACGTTATCACTAATACGTTCAAATGTAATCGCTTCATTCAAATTTCGACAAAGTAATTGCTATATGCGACCGGTGGTTACATCCTATTTGGCGCATGACAAATACAGCGATGTCATGTAGCATTTACACGAATGATCAAAACGCGTGTTTCCTACACACTATTGCGTATTCGTATTCGTGTTTCTAAACGTGAATTTCCGATGACGATAGCAGCTCACATTGTACTGAGTTCGACTGTCAACCAGGGAGGCATTTGAGATAGTTAAGATGTCAAATAAATTCCGTCGCGCTTCAAGTCGAGAGGGCTATTCGTATGAGGGAAAATCAATTTTCCTGGCGTTCGTCGAATCGAAACTTGTCACAATTTGAGTGCACGCTTCAAATTCTAGCTTTATAATTAGATTTTATTTCTTACAATATTTTAATGAAAAATCATTTTAAAACTGCAATTTGAGATTAGAGACGAGATAAAGGAGACTAAGATGATTGGGAACGATTATGAATTCGGGCCATAAAGATCGAAAATTTATTTTTCAGATTGGTAACCCTGAGATCGGAGTTTCGTATTGTCGGGTGTCGGGTGAGGTCTCCAAAATCAGTTTGGAGTTTGCTTGAGTTTATTCCTGTCGACTTTCAATGTGATTAGTTTACCTGCTACATACTTACTTAAGATAGTGATTGCGCGAATTCATACGTTTTCTGCAGCAAATCTTATGAATTAGTTTCGCCGATAATTGGAAATAAAAGATATATAGGTAAATTTATGAATTAACATTGTTGATGTTAATAGAAATGTCATTTCCACAAATTTATGGTTGAATTCAACGTCTTTGTGACTGTAGAGGCTAATAATTGGGTTTTTTGCGTACTTGAAATTATTTTCGGCTCGATAGTATTATTAGTAACACGTCAACCGTAAGATATGTCGTATTTGCAGACAGGCAATTATGAGTCGCTGGGCAAATAAAACCGCAATCGTTACCGGCGCTGGATCCGATCTTGGCCAAGCAATTACATTCGCTCTTTTGAAAGATGGAATACACGTATCTGCTATAGATACGAAGGAAGGAATAAATAAAATTAACGCGAAATACAAAAAGATGAAAATAATTGATACACATACGGGTAAATTAGAACTTCAATGTTATATGAAGGATATCGAAGAAACATTCAAGAAGGATGTGGATATTCTGATCAATAATCACAATGCTTTTAGTAAGTATTCGTGCGTTGTTGGAACATTACTTATATAGAATATTACAATGAGAAATGGAGAAAGAGAGAGGGGAATAGAGAAAGGAGAGGTAGAGAGGAGGGGGGGAGAGAGAGAGAGACAGAAATTATTTATTTATGACAAACCAGTAATTAGTATTTTTTAGTAACAAACAATAGAAATATAATATATTAGAACCTTTTAATAAACGTGCGTGTAACACGTATGGAAGAGATTTTTCGAAATTTGCTGTATTAGATTCCCCACATACATTTTATCTCAATGTTATATAATTGGTTGATTTCACATTAATTAAAAACAGCGAACTAATATATATATATATATCACATATATTTATGCATAACATTTTCATACGCAATATATTATAATTGATAATCTTAATAACGAAAGTCTATTTAAGCATGTAAATTAATAAATATGACGAATGATTAATAAGCAAATCGTGCAACATTTCTACGTTGTTTGTGTTTTTTCAGTCACAAAAGGAATTACATAAATAAAAACCTAACCGCCAAAAAATTTATGTAATATAAGAAAACTATATAATATTGTTTATATAAGAATTCAATATTATAGTCTTTATGTATTATCATGCATTTTGACCATAAATCACTTTCTATTTAATATGCGACGAAATTATATCCTCAACATCTCCTTGGATTGGTTACAAGTTGTCCAGGCTGCATAAATATTTGTTAAATTTTATTATGTTAAAATCTTATTTCAAGTTTATAATGTGAAGTCTGTATTTACATTTGAAAAACAAATCATATTTGATACAGAAATTTAATAAATATCAAAATATAAGAAATATAAACAAAACACTGATCTTATACATAGATATATTGTAATGTGTCAGAGAGCGAGTTAAACAAGTCTTTTATTTGTTTGACTCACTCTATTACAACATACAAGATCAATGTTTTGCTCATATTTTAGATATTTTGATATTTATCCAATTTCTTTATCACTTTTATGTTTTTCTGATATAAGACAGATTACATATTACAAATTGATTACAAAATTTTAACGGAATAAAATTTGATATTTTTATGAAATGGACGATCTAGAATGAGTAATCAATTCAAGAAAATGTTGAGGATGACATTTCGTTTCATATAGATTAATATGTTTAAATTGAGAGAGATTTGTGATGATCAAAATGCGTGATAAGATAAATGTAAGAACAATAATATTGACAATACCGTGACAAAATATAGTTCTCTCACTTTATACATCTTTTCATCTTACATATTTTTTATACATTTGTTTATATAATTCAATGTGGTTAAAAAAACGCGCACAATGTAGAAATGTTTTATGATTATTTAGTTTATTAAATATTTTTATCAACGTATTAATTATATTTATTAACTTACATGCTCAAATAAGCTTTTAGTATTGAAATTTAGTATTTTGTATAGATCGAGCAGTTTTCACTAAATTTATTATTTATATTACACTTTGTTATTAATCTGTATCGAAGAACGCTACACATTAGTAATAATATACTTGAAAAAACACGCATCTATTTTTGTGCACTTATTATTTTTATACTTTTTGTACTGAGGGAATATTTGGTCTCATTTGAAAATTTAATTTTGAGCATGAAATTATAATTAGGTTCATTCGAAAATATAACTTCTAACACAAAAGATGTTATCGCTGAAAGAAGAGCTCGCATACTTCTACATCATGCATCACTTTTACGTATCATGTACAATTCGCAATGGCGAATAGAGACTTTTATTCACATTAGAAGACTTCGATTTACGTTTATATATTGTTGCACGTTTTAAAATATTCTATAAATCATACTTGCAGATACTGATTTGAAAACTTCATCAATTTTAGGTATAGGATTGTCGTTATATGATCAGTTTATAAATGATGCGATAGAGTCTATGCGCAGGCGACAAGTAGAAGGGCACATTTTCAATATCAACAGGTATTATTATTTAATTTATTCTTTAATTACGACAAGTGTTGAAATAAATTTGGACATACTTTTAATATAAATAAGTTAAGCATTTATTGTTGGTTTCCTATAGTAAAACAAAGATGTGGAAAAAATACAATGATTTTTATTATTAGCAATTAAAATAACATATATAATTTTGATATTCATAGTATTTACGGTCATTTCCTTCCAACAAAATCTTTGGATAAAGCTTTGGATAAAGAATATATATCTCTTTTTAATCAGCATGTCGCTTGTGACCGCGCAGGTATTACTTTAACTCATTTGATACGAAATGACGTAGAAGGCGTTAAACCTCCTATTCGAGTTACGGTAAGTTGCGATCAAATAAATTCTTATTTTCTGTTTCTATTTCTTTTTTCTGTTATATAAAAATATTACTCTAAGTAGAAATATATATAATATAAAATTGTAATGATAAAAACGCATACGTTTTTTAATCATTATGTGTGATACCAATAATATAATATATTGAAAAATCATGTTGCAATAAAAAAATAAGGGCAAAAAAGAATTTTTATATAAAAATAAGTATTACGTAGGTGTTACATAAATAAGTATTTCATAGAATATTAATATATATAAAATCAAAAACAATGAATTGATGCCAGGTGTTATCTGTGTATAATTATATCAAATGTATTTTCATGAATATAAATTTTATTTCTATGATTCTTACTAATTCGTTCTTTTCAGAGTATTAGTCCTAGTTGTCTGAAAATGGATATACCTTTGAATGAGTCTAATAATTTAATGCCAGAGGATGTAGCGGATGCGCTTATTTATGCTCTTCGACTAAAACCGGAAGTTGAGGTTAATTTTCGCACTTTTTTCTAATAAAAACATTATTTCACATATTTTTGAATTCCAGATTACGGAACTTATTATTCAACCTACCGGGACACTTCCATGAAAAATATTTTTAGCAATATGTCCACCTCTCTTAGCACCTCACTCAATATAGTATAAAGAGATTTTTATTTAAAATAAATTTGTATTGCTTTGTATTTTTTTGCATGAATATAAAATTTTGTATGTAATTTGTGTGTGTACATGTATGTATGTATGTGTGCTCGAAATGTATTATATACTTTTCCTAACATATATTTTGCTGATATAATTTTTTATATACATACGCACATACACACATATATATTTACAAGTTACAATTACATTTATTGTGAAAAGAAGTAACAAAAAGTTGTGAAAATAATGAAATTTCTATGTTTATTCTATATTTCTACTTTCTACTTTTTTATTATCGTGTTTATTGGTGTGCGATGCTTCACTATCGCTTTAGAAAGATACATCGAAACATCAAAAATTTAAATTTGCGACATATTTTGCTTATCGTTGCAACGTTATCACTAATACGTTCAAATGTTATCGCTTCATTCAAATTCCGACAAAGTAATTGTATATGTGACTGTGGTGGTTACATCCTGCTTGGCGCATGACAAATACAGCAATGTCATATAGCATTTACACGAACGATCAAAACGCGTGTTTCCTACACACTATTGCGTATTCGTATTCGTGTTTCTAAACGTGAATTTCCGATGACGATAGCAGCTCACATTGTATCGAGCTCGATTGTCAACCAGGGCAGCATTTGAAGTGATAGTTAAGATGTCAAACAAATTCTGTCGTGTTTCGTGTCGAGAGAGCTATTCGTGTGAGGGGAAAATCACGTCGCCGCGAAAGAAAAATCAATTTTTCTGGCGTACGTCGAATGGTCAGGACTTGCCGAAAATTGAAGTGCACACTTCAAGTTCCAACTTTGTAATTATATTTCGTTTCTTGTAATGTTTTAATGAGATATTATTTTAAACTTACTATACATATTTGGAGAACTACATAAAATTTAAAATCCGTAGTTTCTATTTTTTCGCTTTTAAATGCTTTTAGCTGTTACATTAAGAAGAGGCGGAATTAAGAGGAGCAAGATTTAAAGCGCGGAAGAGCAGCGGGATGATGATCGATAAAGACGTACTCGACGCTTCAGAGAGCTGTCTGTATGGACAGGCCGGTATTTAGGAATTTATATTAAAATATGTAAATCTATTGGCGCGCGGGCATATTTGAAAACAGATAAATTATGCCGGCCGTGTATTGCGTTCCCGCGGTAAAATATCGACAACGCGCGGCAAGGGGTTGAGGCTGACGGCGAAAGCGGAGTTCCTCGCATAACGGCACGTTCTGTCGACCGGCAGAAATGCGATTTATGACGATCATTGTGTAACGATCATAAATTATTTCTTTATTTACGAGGAAGAGAGAGAGAAAGAAAAAGAGAGCACAAGAAAGCGCGAGAAAGCGCGAGAGAGCACTTACATGGCCAGCAACATTTGCATTTACTGTTTTTTCATGCCTTTCACATTATTTTCAAATAGTAACACCTGATGCTTCCAAATTCTGCCACGCTTCGCTTATAGCTAGTTTACATTCTATAACAACGAATTTATCTTGTAAGTTGGGATTATTAGATATTTTTCTGTGCAACATAAAATTGTGCAATTTAAATATCTCAAATTATTATAGAGATTTAAAATGTCGCTTCATTAGTTAACAATTCAATGTACTTGTATGTAAACTGGAATTAATAGTGGTTTGGTTGGAAAACATTCCTTATTTGCAGTATAGGCTATTATATTGCTTCGAAAACTTAAACTAATTTCGCGAATTCCTGAATTTACACGAGCCACTGAATGTTAAGGAACAAACATCCCGATTTAACTTCCTTAAATGCGTTCGTAACTGTTTCTGACAGGGAACAACTCACCTTCTCTTCTCCACTGACTCTGTATGCTAACAGTTGTTTGACCGTGTTTCTGCAGTTCTCGCGCATTTGAATACGTCTCAAAGTATATATTTTGGGTACATCTTCTGTAAGTCTAAACAATTGATGAATATGTACATACGATTCTCTTGGAGAATATTGTTTGCATTATATTTTTCCGTCTTTTTATTTGCTGACTTGAAGTCTAAAAAGCAAATTTTTAATGCGAGCAACTATTATATATCTCATTTTTTATTAAAACTATCATTGATGAAATCTACGTAATATTTTAGAAATCGAAACTAAAGAAAATTAATTATAATGCAAAAGAAAATGATAAATTGTTCATCGAAAATTTAATCGAGTAATTTTTACTAATACTTGTAAATTTAATTATAATTTGTGCACAGTTTTGTATGTAATAATTCTTTATTTATGTCTGTTTTTAAGAGAAGGCAGAAAGAAACAGATTTAAATAATTCTACAGTAGAATCATTAAAGAAGAATGACAACTTTAGTTACTCTTTACATATATATTTAATCAAGAAATATTTTTCTTCGAATTTTGTTTAGCGCAAAGTTAAAGCCTCGCGATTGAGAGTCGGAAAAAATGATTTCGATGCATCAGAAGTTTTGACTTGTCTCATTAAAGCGGGTCTGCGAGACGGAGGGCGAAACGTGGCGCGCAGCTGGATACGACGACAACGAGGAGTCAGTCAGATTGCTAAGGGTTCGCTAGACGGGATCGGGGGTGCCTGCAGAAGGTTCGTTAGCGGAACAGTGGCAGTGCAAACACGGCTTAAACCGACTGCGTACGTGCGTCAATGCGGTGTCAAATTTGAAGTGATTCGCGATGACGGCGTGCACGTGACGCGTCGGTACTAAACGCGCACCTTCGCCGACGACGACGATGACGACGACAACGACGATCGTTCGACGTATTGGCCCGTGTCGTGGAGCCATACATATATTGGGCTGAATATCGAACGAGCCCGTCTGTTGACTTATTAAAAGCCGGCTGAAATTGGAGCGAAGGTGGAAAATTCGATTCCCCGGATTTCGGCCGATTTCCGTGTTCATCGTGGTGGTGCGGTAGTGACCTCAATTATTCCGCCGCGAATGAAAGCTATTTTCCCGGGGTAACTATATTGCGCGGTTCCGAATGCATTCGGGCATATTCCTGATAGAGGTAGACGGCAGTGAAATTTTCGTGTCGATGTCACTAGTTCAAGGTTTTAAGATTGTAAATCTCATGCAATAGAAAAGCTAAGGAACCGGAATTATGTATAATAAATTGAATGTGCCGTCTAATTTCCCCTTTCCTTCGGTTTAATAGAGAAAACGCAAAAAATCTCATTAAATATAATATTATAATTATAATGATATAATTAAAGATTGTGAGCAAATTTTTATACAATTTTGACGAATTATGTTTATTCAATAATTATCCAAAAATTGCATAAAATATGTAAAATGCATAAAAGATAATTTTAATTAATATGAAAATTAAAACAATGTTACGCTGCAACTTCTTTAATTATTTTTCTAATCGAATATAATAAGATATTTGACAAAATATTATCAAATTGATTATGCAACGAGATTTTCAAGTATTAAATTGCACAAAAAGGAGAGATTAAATTAGAAATGCCGCATTTTCTCTTTTTAATTGTTTTCTTCCGGCAAAGACGCTTTCCTTTACACGATTATGTAATGTGACGCGTACGCACATACAGCAACTAAAACGTCAACTGCAATTAGCGCGTATTCTCGTCGACGACCGGTTTAGATAATACAGTCTAAACCGTGCGCTTTATGTGTTATCTCGTCGATTGCTCCGCTAACCCCTGAAATTTTCGAACGACCTCATCGCCCGCCATTTCCTTCCTCGCTGCCCCCCGTCTATTTCCTCTCGCATAATCTGCAATTGCGAAACTGAGGAGAAGTTGCAGAATAGTTCGCTCTCTTGCCCGGCGAGTATGAATTTAATCGTTCCCCGTGCGATGTCGAATTCGACGCGATTCGCACGTGTAATGCCGTGGCAAATCGCAATGCTGAAGCAAGGATCATTTGTATAATGCGGATAATAAGACGGCAAGAAGGACAGCTGACGATTATCACTTGCAGCGTAGGATTTGATTTTTCGCTTTTGTTACAAGAGGCGTATACTTTGAGGATGAATATTATGGACGTTCTTGTCAAACGCAAAGCGGAGAGAGAAGAATCTTTCGCCTCCGTTATATAAATCCGCTTGTTTCATTCGTCCGTATCCCGGAGACATTCATGAGGTAAAAAGATGCGCATAATATTATCAACGCATTCCCGACGTGGCCGCGCGTAGTTTAATCCACTGCGACGCTGATCCCCGCAGTACACGATGAATTCCGTCCGTCGTCGGTCTGTATTGTTAGTAATATTGGATGAGACTAAAAGGAGAAATCTGAGAGAAGTGTCATTTGAATAATGTAGATAAGTTTACTTCGCTTGGAAAATACCAAAACGGGAAAGATCGTGATTTCGCTCAGTCGGAGGAAATATACGCGCCCGCGCGTGCCATGATTTAATCTATTGCGAGAGTAGTTCATTGGCAAGAGTCAATATAGAGATATTAAATCGACAGGATTTAACAAGTCAATTTTTGTTGAAATATGACTATATGGATTTTTTTATTAATTATTTATATAAATATATACAATATATTTAAGTATATTGTATATTTGGCAGATCTCTCATATTAATCATTTATATAGATATATATTGTACATACGTGTATGTGTATGGATAGTGAAGTATTTATTAAAAACTATAAACAAATAATGGTAATGTTCCTATAATATATATTTGATCATATTATGTATTGAATATTTCTGAAAAATAATCAACTTCGGGCTATCAAATCATTATCTATTTCTAAGTCTTATATTGTGAAAAAATAAAAAGATAATTTCAGAGCGCTTTAATATAGCTTAAAATTTAAAAAATTATATATTTAATATAATTTTATACATATAGTTTAATATATTTAATATAGTTTAAAAAATTAAAGTTAATTATAAAAAGTTAATTAAAAAAAATTATATATTTAATATAGTTTAAAATTCAATAAATTATTTTCCATTATCTGTACGGAATAAATATTGTATACGAACGACAGATCATCCAGCACGCGTGCCGGATTTATCGTTTTTCGATAAATCCCTGAATATTTAATTGTAGGAATTGAAAGTCTGTCTTCGACACT